GGAAAGGAGGAGTGTGTTGTCACAGTATGGGGAGAGCAATTAGAGTCACATAACAATGTATGTATAAATTTTTGTATGGGAAAAAATAAAAAAAATTAATTAAAGAAAAAATAAGGTCATATTAGAGTACTTGTTGGGTGCCACTGAGTTGATTTCCGACTCATAGCTACCCCATGTGACAGAGTAGAACTGCCCTATAGGATTTTCTAGGCTGTAATCTTAATGGGAAGGAGCCCTGGTGGCACAATGGTTAAAGTGCTTGGCTGCTAACCGAAAGGTCAGCCGTTTGAACCCACCAGCCGCTCCGTAGGAGGAAGATACGGCAGTCTGCTTCCATAAAGATTTAGTCTTGGAAACGCTGTTGGGCAGTTCTACTTTGTCCTGTAGGGTCACTATGAGTCAGAATCAACTTGATGGCAGTAAGTTTGGGGTTTTTTTTGGAATCTTTATAGCAGCAGATCGCCAGATCTTTCTCCCATGGAGCAGCCGGTGGGTTTGAACTGCCAGCCTTTCAGTTAGCAGCTGCGTGCTTAACCACTGCTCCACCAGGATTCCTTTACTGGAGTAGGGTGGGCCCTAATCCAATCTGATAGGTGTCCTTGTAAAAAAGAAGAGACACAGAGGAAGGACAGCCATGTGAAGATGGTGGTGGACTGGGGTGATGCAGCTACAAGCCAAGGAACGCCAAGGTCTGCTGACTGTCACCAGAAGCTAGAAAGAGACAAGGAAGTATCTTCTCCTAGAGCCTTCAGCGAGAGCACAGCCCTGCTGACATCTTGATTTCAGAGTTCTGGCCTCTAGAACTGAGACAACACATTTCTGTTCTGATAAGCCACTCACTTTGTGGTACCTTGTTATGACAGACCTAGGCAACTAGTACGGGTAGGTTTGGGGTAGAGGAGGGACAGGACCTGAGACGGGTGTTGTGGTCAACATTTGTTGGTTTTCTGAGTGATCAGACTATAGAATTATACTCTCAGAGAAAAATGCTAGGAAATTAGAATCACTTCTAGTGGGAAAAATAAAAAATAAAGAAGTAAAAATACAGTATAATGTTAGTAGTCAACTGTGCTAGAAAGCAAACTCAAGCTGTCTTCCAACTCCTGGTGACCCCACACACAACAGAATAAAACACTGTCTGGTCCTGCACCATCCCCATGATTCGTTGTGGATCACACCACTGTAATGCAGAGGGTTTTCACTGGCCGGTTTTTTGGAAGCAGATCACCTGGGCTTTCTTCCTAGTCCATCTTAGTCTGTCTGGAAGCTCCACTGAAACCTGTTCAGCATCAACAACATGCAAGCGTCCAGTAACAGATGGGTGGTGGCTGCACATGAGGTGGACTGGCCAGGAACTGAACGCAGGTCTCCCGCATAGAAGGCGAGCATTCTACCACTGAGCCACCAATGTCCTCCATGCACACTTTATAAGAGAAGAAAATGAGGTCCCAGGAGGCCCCACTCGCCACCCTCAAAACTACTTGGAGGCTCAGGAGCCAAGACCGCCTCACTCCACCTGGCCCCACCATGCTCACTGGGCTCCTGCTCGGCATCCATCTTGGCCTTGAGCAGCATCCGCAGCCGTGACACCTCCTGCCGCTTGAGCTCATCCAGCTTGGTGCGAACATGGTGGCTTACAAAGTCCAGTTCCCGGCTCAGCTTCCCGCTCTGCCCAGAGAGAGAGGAGATACTGGTCAGGCTGGGGGCCGGGGAAAGAGCATGCTAGGCAGCCTCACACTGGCTCTGTCCTTTCTGGAAACTTCTGCAAGCTTGCTGATACCCAGGAGGTCTGACCCCCACCCCCACCCCGGCTCATGGCCAAACATGACTCCCCAGGGCAGGGTCCCAGACCCTCAGCCTGGTGTTGAAGGACCAGGGTGGTCTGATGACCAAGTTGGTACTTTTTAGTAACACCCCGTGTAGTGAATGTCTCCTCAGGGCGGAAGTCCTGGACTCTAGGTTCAAATCGCAGCACCAGCATCACCAGCATCATTAGCATCACACCCTTTTCCTGCTCTGGACCTCAAAAAGGGATTGGCATTTACTGAAGGCTTAGGATGAACCAGGCCAAGGACTTGAAGAGGACATTATCGCTAATTCATACCACAGCCCCTCAAGAGAGAAAATTATATTGGGCTTCTCATTTACATGACATGGAAACCAGGCACAGAGAGGTGTGGCCACTTGCCCAGGATTAGAACCCAGCACTGAGCCACTCCAGAACCTGCCTGCTTAACTGTCCACTGTTTCTGATGTCACTTAGCAGGTGTGTGACCTTGGGCTAGCGAGGCACCTCCCGACAAGCTCCCAGACCTCGGTTTCTCCAGCTGGGAAGTGGGAGGGGCTAGACTCATGGGTCTCTAGTTTTCTCCCCGGACTGGGCTTGGTAGAGCCCTGGGACCGCCCTGAGTGGTGTAGAGGGGAAGCCTACTGGAGTCCTGGGGCAGGACTGGTGATTAGGAGTGGGCCTAGAAGAGAAGGGTGGAGCCTGGAGCACCAGAGGGTGGGGCACAAGACAATGTGGGATTGGGTTTGTAGAGCTCAGGGATGGAGCCTGGGGGGGTGCCTGCCTTGAGTACACAGGGGTGGGTCTGGAGCACTGGAGGGTGGTAATCATCTGGGCAGGGCCTGGAGAGCCGGAGGGTGCGGCTTAGTTGCCACATGGACCTAGATGGTGGAGAGAACCCCAGGAATGCAGGGAGGCTTCAGCGAGTAGTGAGGAACCTCCCGACCAGCCCCCGGCCTCTCGGGGCCTCTCCTAGGCTGAGGTGTTTGGAGAACGAGGCAGCATGTTGAGTGGCTCCTCCAGGCAGGGCATTCCGGCATGTGAGACATTCCAAAGTGCTGCCCAATGGGGTTGGGAAAGGCAGAGAGCAGACACCTAGGTCAGGCCCAGCCCTGTTTACTCACGAGGGATTCCCTGGGCCATTTCTGCGGAGCAGCTGCCCGGGGTCTGCCTGTTGGGTAGGGAGTGGGTGGAGGTGCTGGGGCTAGGGAATGCTCTGGGCTCAGCCAGTCCTGGAGTGTGATCCCGGGGCCACAAGAAGGGCAAACACTGCTACCAGGGTCTCAGAGTCCTCCTCTGTAAGATGGGGATCATCCTAGCCTGTTGGGAACTTAACATTGGCATTGGCAGTAACAGGAGTGAGAACACTCTATTTTGAATTCTTCCTGGTAGAAGGCACTGTTTTAAGGCACATCATGGATTGAATTGTGTCCCCCCAAAATATGTGTCAACTTGGTTAGGCCATGATTCCCCGTATTATGTGGTTGTCCTTCTTTCTGTGATTGTAATTTTATGTTAAGGAGGATTAGGGTGGAATTGTAACACCCTTACCCAGGTCACATCCCTGATTCAATGTAAAGGGAGTTTCCCTGGCATGTGGCCTGTACCACCTTTTATCTCTCAAGAGATAAAAAAAGAAAGGGAAGCGAGCAGAGAATCGGGGACCTCATACCACCAAGAAAGCAGTGCTGGGAACAGAGCGTGTCCTTGGGACCCAGGGTCCCTGTGTGGAGAAGCTCCTAGTCCAGGGTAAGATTGATTAGAAGGCTGACGGAGACAGAAAGCCTTCCCCTGGAGCTGATGCCCTGAATTTGGACTTTTAGCCTACTTTACTGTGAGGAAATAAACTTCTCCTTGTTAAAGCCATCCACTTGTGGTATTTCTGTTATAGCAGCACTAGAAGACTAAGACAAAGCACTTAGATCAAGCAACACTCACACAGCACTTACTAAAGACTGCTACTATCTTTACACGTTGTAACTCAGGTAATCAGAGCCTGAGTCCTACAACACAGGTAGTATTACTACCTCCATTTTACAAATGGGGAAACCAAGGCATGGAAAGGTGAAGTCAACTGCCCCAGGTCACACAGCTGCTAAGTGGCAGAGCCTAGTGAGACTGGACTGTTCAACTCCATGCTTAACCACATCCTGTGTGCCCCAAATCCCTTCCTGGCTGTGTGACCCCCAAGAAGTGACTTCTTCTCCCGCAGATCTCTTCTATGATGTAGAAAATGGGCAGGGCTGAACACATGCGGCCCCTTTGGGGAACCCGACCTTTCCCAGCCTCTGTCCTGCAGCATGCATCCTCTCCCCCCAATCCCCCCCCCCCCTCAACTGCACCTTGATGTCCTCAGCGTTGGCAGCCTGCAGCTTCTCACGGAAGTGCCCATCTGTTTCCAGCACATTGATGACCTCTTGGAGGTACCGGTGGTAATACAGGCCTGTGTCCTAAAGTGACAAGGATGGACATAGCAGCCCCAGTCCCCACCCCTCTCTGGTTCCTTTCCTAAGCAGAGTCGTGGTCCTGTTCCCCTAGATGGCAGCTGAGGCACCCAGGGTCCTAGACAAAGGCTCTGGAGCCAGAGACCTTGGTTCAAAGCCCCACCCTGCTGTATAACCTCAGGCAGGTTGCCTAACCCTCTGGACCACAGCTTTCACCTGCCTTCTTCTCAGGCGTGTAGAAGAGATAAAATGAAAATCACATGGGTAAATGCCCAGACCAACACCTCCCACAGACAGGGTGCTTAAAGAGTGAACACAAACCAAAACCATTGCTGTCGAGTCAGTTCCAACTCATGGCGACCCCGTGTGTTACAGAGTAAAACTGCTCTGTAGGGTTTTCTTGACTGTGATCTTTATGGAAGCAGCTCACCAGGTCTTTCTTCCACAGAGCTGCTAGGTGGGTTCAAACCCTTTCGGTTAGCAGTTGAGGGCTTAACCATTGCACCACCAGGACAGCCACTCATTAGAAATTCCATGAGGCAGTTTTACTCTGTCCTATAGGGTCGCTGTGAGTTGGAATTGACTTGATGGCCAGGAGTTTGGTTGTGGATTTTTAGAGTGAGGTTAATAAGAGTACCGACCTCATAGGGTTGCTGTGAGGATTAGATGAGTTAAAAAAAAAATGAACAAAACAAACCCATTGCCAGCAGGTTGATTCCACTCATAGCAACCCTATCGGACAGAGTACAACCGCCCCGTAGGGTTTCCAAGGCTGTAATCTTTACGGAAGCAGACTGCCACATCTTTCTCCTCCAGAGCAGCTAGTACATTCAAACCGCTGACCTTTTCGTTAGCAGCCAAACACTTAACCACTGTGCTACCAGGGCTCCAAATGAGTTAATGTATTTAAATATTTAATGCAGTGCCTGGTACCTAGTTAAGCCAAAAACCACACTAGTTGCCTTCTAGCTGATTCCGTCTCATGGTGATCCCATGTGTTTCGGAATAGAACTGTACTCCATAGGATTTTCATGGCTGTGACCTTTCTAAAGTAGATCACCAGACCTTTCTTCCAAGACACTTCTGGGTGGATTTGAACTTCCAACCTCATGGTTAGCAACCAAATGCTTAATGTTTGCGCCACCCAGGGACTCCAGGAACTGTCGATATTGTTATTGTTGCTGTTTATAATCTTTTATTGCTTTCTATAAGGAGCTCAGCTGCTAATCGAAAGGTTAGCGGTTTGAACCCACCAGCGGCTCTTCGGGAGAAAGATGTGGCAGTCTGCTTCTATAAAGATTACAGCCTTGGAAACCTTACGGGGCAGTTCTACTCTGTCCTGTAGGGTCACTATGTGTCGGAATCAACTCGATGGCAACGGGTTTATTGCTTTCTATAAGGAGCCGTGGTGGTGCAACAGTCAAGGGCTCGGCTGCCAACTGAAAGGTCAGCAGTTGGAACCTACCTGGTAGCTCTTCGCCACCTAGTGGCGATCTGTTCCTGTTAAAAAAAACAAAAAAACCCTATGGGGCAGTTCTACTCTGTCAGATGTGGTCTATATGAGTCAAAAGTCGACTCAAAGGCACCCAACAACAATACTGTTTTCTATTGGCTTTAGAATAAAGAATAAATTCTCTACCATGGCCCACAAGGCCCAGCATAATTTGGCCCCGTTCCTTCTCTGAACACATCTTCTATCCCTCTCCCTCTTGCTCTTTCTGCTCCAGCCACACTGGCCTCCTTGAAGTCCCTCTGCTCACTATGCTTTCTCCTACACTGTCTTTGCCCAGGCTGTTCTCTTTACCTAGAATGCTCTTCCCTCCACTTCCTCTACCCCCGTACTTTTGACTTAATATCTTCTCCTCCCTCACCCCCGCCACTTCAGATCTCAGCTCAAGCATCCCTTCTTCCCTGACTATCATCCCTGGTATCCATTCTCACAGAGCCCTGCCCTTTGTCTTCCATCTCCCGGTGAGCCAGGCTGATCTGTAACGGCATACAGCTTGCACATGGCTGTATCCTAGAGACTAGCATCGTGCCTGGCTCATAGCATATGCTCAAGAAATGTGTGGAATGAATGAAGGAAAAGGGACCCAAGGTTGCCCTTTGATGTTTGCAAGGATTTCACAGTGCAGAGACCTAACTCGTTAGGTGGGGATCTGCCTAATGTGATCTGCTATACATGACCTAAGAAGCCCTGGTAGGGCAATGATTAAATGCTTGGCTGCTAACCAAAAGGTTGGTGGTTTGAACCCACCAGCTGCTCCTCAGGAGAAAGATGTGGCAGTCCACTTCTGTAAAGACTACAGCCTAAGAAACCCTATGGGGCAGTTTCACTCTGTCCTATGGGGTCATTATGAGTCAGAATCGACTCCACCGCACACAACAACATAAATGATCTGCCCATCCCAAGAAGGAGCTGTAGGAAGATTCAGGCCACAAATTGGGATAATGTATCATTAAATCCCAACTCCCCTGAGATGAAAACTACACAGGGTTCGATAAACATGTGTTGGCATTAATAAATGAACAGTTCATGTGTGCTTTCATAACCTAAAACTACAACTCCCATGAGTTCATAGATTAAAACCGCCTCCAGCTACCTAACATTGCCTGCCTACGGTGCTTCTGGGAACTGTAGTTCTTTTCCATATTCTTTCTAGGGTGAGGGAAACATAAAAGATTGGGGAGGTTTAGGTGGATGATACAGATTTTCCAATTAAAATCTGACCTGAATTTCCACATCTCAGAAGTCCACTCCCTAACAGTCCGAGACTTGGAAATCTGTCTCCTCCCCAGTTTTCCACCATGTCAAACTCCCGGGACGACAAAGAATGGCAGGCAAAGTACAAGCTGCATCAGTCCCTGGGGCCAAAAAGTCACCGGAGTATCCCCCCTGGGGCCACGGGGTTCGCGGGAATTGTAGGACCACGGCAAACACCTGGCTGGAGAGCAGGGCAGGGCCACTCACGGGGCTCTCGGTCGCGGGGCTCTCCTCTTTCTTGGGCGCTCCCCGCTCCAGGGGCACGGTCAGAACAGTGCGCAGCAGCAGTAGCAGCGACGGCAGGAGGAGGAGGGCAGCGCGGAGCCCAACGGAAGGCATGGCAGCGTGGTCTGTGGGGGTCGGGGGTGGACAACGTCTATCCCAAGCCTCCTCCTTCCCAAGACCCAGGAATCTGAACCCCTAGCGCCGCCCCCTACCCATCTAAAAGTCAAGGCTCAAACCGTCTAGTACTCCTGCACCCAAGATTCCAGGCCCCCAGCCTTTCCTTCCTCTGACACAGGAGTCTAGGCTCTCAGCCCCCTTATTCCTCAGACCCGGGAATCCTGTCCCCCAGACCCTGGAATCCAAGACCGCTACCCCCACCTCCCCCAGACCCAAGAGTCCAAGCACCCAACCTCCTCTTTTCCCAGAAGTTCTGGCACCCAGCTCATCCTCCTCTGGCACCCACTTTTCCAGCACTCTGGCCCCTCAGCCTCCCCCCTCCCCACGACCCAGGAGTCTGGAAGCGCCAACGCCTCACCTCTCCTGCACCACAGTGGGAGTATTCCCGGATAAGGACCTCCGGTGCGTTTTTGGTGACTTCCCCTCTAGGCCCCGCCCCCAGGATCTGATTGGTCCACGCTGGAGATCGGCTTCGGGCCCGTTCCTCTACTTCCAGCGGCCCCGCCCTTCGCCGAAGTCGCTCGCCTGTTCTCGAAAACTTCACCTCCTCTTTCTCGGAAGCCCAGCCTCTCTGACGCCACATTTCCTTCCTTTTAAGCAAAAGGAGAGCGGAGACTCTTGAACTACAACTCCCTGCTGGCCGCGACAAAATGAGTCAACCTCGGCGGACATCTTGGCCCCATTGCCTTATGGGAGTTGTAGTTTTCCCATTCATTTTTGCCGCAGGTAAAGGCTGCACGTTAGAGCTCCTTAGCCATTGCACAGTCCACTTTATAAGTTTCTCCAGGTGCATAGCGAGACTGCGATGGGGCCTTTCTCTGGTCCCTTTAAGGAACACCCGCATACCATTCCAATTCGGAACCCCCGGAGCAAGGTTGCCGGGCTGCAGCGGTGGTCGGGGGTCATTTCTTTGTTGGAAGTGGAGCAAAGGGGGCCGGGAGGTAGCGGACCAGGGCAGATCCCAGTGGGAATCCCCCCTCCCTCTGAACCCTGTTTTCTTTATCTGCCTACTTCCCCTAGACCCAGAGATTAGGTCCCCAGTTCCCAAAGACAGGGTCAGGTATGTTTCGAGACTGGCCACAGAGGCGATTCAGTGAGGCGTGAATGTGAGTGGCTGCTCCGCACAAGGGGAGAAGAGGGAGTCTCCAGGATCCCAGAGAGGTGGGCGCTGAGTTCTGGGGACACTAGGGGTCAGGTGTTTGGGGCCCAGAGGCCTGAGTTATGGTGCTTGGGTCTAAAAGAGTCAGGGACTGGACTACAGGCCGGGAGAGAGTTAGGTACTTGGAGCAGGAACTGGGCTCCTGGGTCCCTGATAGTGATAAAAGCTGGGACCAGGCCTCTGGGTCCCTAACAGGAGAGGATGCTGGGATTCAGGCTACCTGGGTCAAGGAGGAGGAGCCCTGGTGGTTCAGCAGTTAAGCGCTTGGCTGCTAACAGAAAGGTCAGCAGTTCAAACCCACCAGTTCCTCTGTGGGAGAAAGATGTGGCAGTTGGCGTCCGTAAAGATTACAACCTTGAAAACCCTATAGGGCAGTTCTACTCTGTCCTAATAGGGTCGCTATGACTTGGAGTCTACTCGACAGCATCGGGGTTCGGGTTCCAGGAGAAGATCTAAGTCTGAGGTTCAGATGTTGGAAAGCAGAGTCCACTGGGATGTTGGGTCTGGGTTCTGACTAGTTCTTGCTTCTCCAGAATGTCTCAGGAGAATGACACATGGAAGAAAGAGTGAGTAGGAAAATGGGGTTGTGGGGGAGGAGGAACTAAGCTCTTGTCTCATAACTGTGTTTGCAATGTTCAGTACCATCAGGCTTGCAGGAAGGGGTTGGGGGCTGGGGCTCCTGGGTCTGAGGGAGGGAGCTGGGGCCCCAAACTCTTGGATCTGAGGGAGGGGGGGATGGGGGCCTGGACTCCTGAGTCCTGAGAACAGGACCCCTGACTCCTGGATTCTAGATGGGCCAGTGCTGGGAGAAAGAGCTTCAGAAACTGGTAGAGCAGATCCCATACCTTCTGTGACCTCACAGGTGTTCAGAACCCCAAGCTGAGCATGGGTAGGGAGGGGCCCTTGGGCAACTGGGGATGTCCTGCTTGCATCTCCCTCAGGGCCCTGGTGGATGAGCTCGCTGCCATGAGGCTGCAGAAGCTGGAGCAGCAGGTACTATGCCCCAGGAATCAGCCACCCCACTTCTATCTTCCCTACCTCCACAGGATCCCCATCCTCAGGACTTGCTCTGGGGCTCCAGGTCCTCAGTGGCTCTCTCTGAGCCTCAGGTTCTCCTACTGGGAAATGGGAATTTGGGAGCCTAAGCAAACCCTGGTGATGAGCCTCCAAAATTTTAAGGAACAAGGGTTTCTTAGCCCATGGGAGAGAAGGGGGTGGTGCCTGGACTCCTGGGTCTGAGGAAAGAGAGAACTGGGCAGCAGACTCCTGGGTCTGAGACCAGGGGACAAAGAGGTCCACGGACCCTCCCGCCGATGCAGGCCTCCACTTGCCCAAGGCCCCACCTCACCACTGTCTTCTCTTTGGGCTCCTGGCCGCAATGCCCCCCACCCCCGCCCCTGCAGCGGCGGCTGTTTGAGAAGAAGCAGCGACGGAAGCGCCAAGAGCCACTCATGGTTCATGCCAACCCTGATGCTTCTCTGCGGTCTCGGCGACCATGGCGACGGGAGGAGCGCCTGGGAAGTGACAGCGGTGAGAAAAAGCTCCTAGGGTCCCGCAAGCGGCGTTGGTCTGGAGGGAGGGGTCTGGAAAGCCTAGCGGCGCGGTCGGAGAGAGTCCGGGCCTGCCTACTGTAGCGCAAGGGGCGTGGCCTGCCGGTACTCTGAGTGGGGTCAAAACCAAACCCATTGGGGTCGCGCCTTGGAGGCGATTCCAACTCACAGGAGCAGCTGGGAGATTCCAACCGTTGACCTTTTGGGTAGCAGCCGAGCTCCTAATCACTGCACCACCAGAACTCCCGACCAGGGCTCCAAACCAAAAAGCAAACCCATTGCCGTCGAGTCGGTTCAGACTCACAGCCACCCTATAAGACAGAGTAGAACTGCCCCATAGAGTTTCCAAAGAGCGCCTGGTGGATTCGACCTTTTCGTTAAGTAGCCGTAGCACTTAACCGCTACATCACCAGGGTTTCCGACCAGGGCTCAAGAAGAGCCTAATTGCAGGCCCTGAGGAGGCGTTAAGAGTGGGACGAGTTAAAGACTGGGGGCGGGGCCGCGAGATTGCGGGGACGGGGGAGGATGAGCTGAAGGGTGAGGCTCTAGAGAATCTGGGAATTGGGCTAGGTAGAGCTGGGGGGCGGAGCCTAGGAGAGCCGAGGGACTGCCTCGAGGAAAGAGTGCGGGGGCGGGCCCCGTAGAGCAGGAGGCGTGGCCTGCAAGGGTGCGGGGACACAGTTTGGAAGAGTCTGAGCGCAGTACGCCCGCAGAGCCTGGGAAGTGGGGTCTGGGTAATTTAGAGTAGGGGTCCTGAAGAGATTACGCGAAGCGGCCATGCGATTGTTTATGAATCTAGCCCGCAACAACTTAGCTGCGAGACTGTGCTTATTTGAGCCTTAGGATGCAATTTGAGGACTGAGTGGATCTTGGAGGGGAGTCTTGGGTGGCGAGTGAATTCCGGGACGACGTCTGGAAGCCCGGGGGCTCTGGTGGCAGCAGTGGTTAAGAGCCTGGCTGCTAACCAAAACAGCGGCCAGCCGCTCCTTGGAAACCCTATAGGGCAGTTCTACTCTGTTCTGTAGAGTCGCTACGAGTCGGAATCCAGTCCATGGCATCGGGTTTTTTGTTTGTTTGTTTGTTTTGTCTGGAAGCCCAGTTAGAGGGCAGATCTTCGCTGAGGAACGGAATTTGTAGATGGTTTTAATGGGCCTCGCCTCACCTTCTCCCAGGCCCTGGGAACCCTTTCCTCCTGGAAAACGTTCCAGAGGCACATCTGCGCAATGCCTTCAGCACTGTGAGCTGCGGTGGAGATGGCAGTGGCGAGCGCCGTCCTCTAGAGTTCCCGACAGAAGCGGGTAACCTGCAGCCCTTGGATCTCCCCAGAACTTCCCTCCCACTGGAACCCAGGAGTCTGGGAGCTCAATGCCTGTTCTCCCAGGGACTCGGGAATCCAGGCGCCCGCCCCCTTCTCCCTCAGGACTCACGCAGTTGGGACACTGCTACTTCTTCCCTCGGTACCTAGGTGTCTGGCTCCCAGACCTCTCCTCCCCCACACCCAGGCATCTAGGCCCTGAACCTCCTCGTCTCCCATGCCCAGGAATCTGAGCCTCCAGCCCCTTCCTCACCCAGTACTCAGGAAACCCTGTCTCTACTCCCCCTTCTTATCCCGGCGTCCAGACAGTTCAGATCCAGATTTGGAGGAAGTCTCTGTGGAGAACGTTCCCGCCTCTCCCCCTCCTTATAAAGAGCCTCCAGGGACTCTACGACGCAGAGGTTGGCCAGCCTGCCAACGACCTGGTAATTTGGGGGACATTCGGGGTGAAATCTGACCTCCACTTCGTGCATGCCTCAAATCCCCACCCGCTATATGACATCCCCCTCCTTTTTGGGTAACAGTTTTATTGAGATATAATTCACATATCAGGAATTCACCCAATTCAGTGGGTTTTAGTATGAAGGTCCGTGGATGGCGCAAATGGTTTGCACTTGGCTGGTAACCAAGTGCTGGTAAGCAAGTGATTGTTGGTTTGAACCTACCCAGTGGCACTCTGGAAGAAACTGGCCTGGGGGTCTGCTTCTGTGAAGATTATAGCCAAGAAAACCCTATGGAGCAGTTCTACTCTGCAACACGTGGAGTCTCCTAAGTCACAAACCAACAACAAAAACAAAATCACCAACAATGGCTTTTAGTGTATTCACAGAGTTGTGCAGCCACCACCACAATCAAGTCTACAATATTTTCATCAAACCCAAAAGAAATCCTGTACCGTTTAGCAGTCACCCCTCCGTTTTCCCTGGTCTCGATAGATTCTGTGTCTATAGAATTGCCTATTGTGGACATTTCATATAAATGGAATCATACAGTATGTGAATTTTTGTGACTGGCCTCAATAAACTTTCAAGGCCAATAGACATTTGCAGTACAATAGATGTTCAAAATGTGCATTAGTGAGTTAACCCAAAGTGGATACACCTGTGTAAGCATTACCCAGGTCAAGAAACAGAACGTAGCCAGTATCCCCAAGATCCCCCTGTGGCCTCTCTCACAGTCACTCCCTTCATCCTACCCAAAGGCGACCTCTCTCCTGACTTCTTTCACTGAGCATGTTTTGAAGGGTCATTCATGTTGCAGCATGTATCCCTTCTTCATTCCTGTTTATTGACTAATTATACTCTATTTAGCAACATTCCCTTTTATTCTCTTGGTATGGCCAACTGTTTCAATGACAGGATTCTTAATTATCATCTCAAACTCTATCCCTGTTTCCCTTAGACTTAGTTCCCATTTGGGACCAAGGAAAGGGAGGAATCAAACTCCTCCCTGTCCTCAGAGACTCCTCACCCCAGGAGACACCCAACACATGGGGAAAGAGGAGAATCTGGCAGGGGAGGGCGATCAGTAGGGGCTGGGAACCCAGGGGTTCAGGCCTTCTCCAGCTAGCACTAGTGACCCTGTCTTCCATCCTGAGACTCTAACACCCTGAGCTTGTTGTTAGGTGCCATCCCGTTGGTTCTGACAAATAGCGACCCTATGTGCAACAGAATGAAACACTGTCCAGTCCTGCACCATCCTCACTGTTGTTATGCTTGAGCCCACTGTTGCAGCCACTGTGTCAACCCATCTCCTTGAAGGTTTTCCTCCTCTTCCCTGACCCTCTACTTTACCAAGCATGATGTCCTTCTCTAGGGACTGGTCCCTTCTGATAACATGTCCAAAGTATGTGAGATGAAGTCTCGCCATCCTTGCTTCTAAAGAGCATTCTGGCTGTACTTCTTCCAAGACAGATTTGTTCGTTCTTTCGGCAGTCTATGGCATATTAAATATTCTTCGCCAACGCCATAATTCAAAGGCATCACTTCTTTTTTTAAAAATTAATTTTATTTTTATTATTTTTTAATTGTGCTTTAAGTGAAAGTTTACAGCTCAAGTTAGTTTCTCATACAAAAATTTATAGACACATTGTTATGTGATCCTAGTTGCTCTCTCTATAATGGGACAGCACACTCCTCCTTTCCATGCTGGATTTCCCGTGTCCATTCAGCCAGCTCCTGTCCCTTCTAATCTCGCCTCTGGACAGGAGCTACCCTTTAGTCTCGTGTATCTACTTGAACTATGAAGCACACTCTTCATGAGTATCATTTTATGTCTTATAGTCCAGTCTCATCTTTATCTGAAGAGCTGGCTTTGGGAATGGTTTTAGTTCTGGGTTAACAGAGAGTCTGGGGGCCATGTCTTCCAGGGGGCATCAATTCGTCTTCGGTCTTCCTTATTCATTGTCCAGCTTTCACATGCATGTGAGGTAAGTGAAAACACCATGGCTTAAGGTCCACCTTAGTCCTCAAAGTGACATCTTCGCTTTTTAACACTTTAAAGAGGTCTTTTGCATCAGATTTCCCCAATGCAATGTGTTGTTTGATTTCTTGACTGCTGCTTCCATGGGTGTTCATTATGGATCCAAGTAAAATGAAATCCTTGACAACTTCAATCTTTTCTCCATTTGTCATGACGTTGCTTATTGGTCCAGTTGTGGAGATTTTTGTTTTCTTTATGTTGAGGTGTAATCCGTGCTGAAGGCTATGGTCTTTGATCTTCATCAGTAAGTGCTTCAAGTCCTCTTCACTTTCAGCAAGCAAGGTTATGTCATCTGCATAACTCAGGTTGTTAATGAGTCTTCCTCCAATACTGATGCCCTATTCTTCATACAGTCCAGCTTCTCAGATTATCTGCTCAGTGTACAGATTGAATAAGTATGGTGAAAGGATACAACCCTGATGCACACTTTTCTTGACTTTAAACCACACAGTGTTCCCTTGTTCTGTTTGAATGACTGCCTCTTGATCTGTGTACAGGTTCCTCATGAGCACAATTAAGTGTTCTGGAATTCCCATTCTTTGCAATGTTATCCATAATCTGTTATGATCCACACAGTCAAATGCCTTTGCATAGTCAACAAAACACAGGTAAAAGTCTTCCTGGTATTCTCTACTTGCAGCCATGATCCATCTGACATCAGCAATGGTATCCCTAGTTCCACATCCTCTTCTGAATCTGGCTTGAATTTCTGGCAGTTCCCTGTCGATTTAGTGCTGCAGCTGCTTTTGAATGATCTTCAGCAAAATTTGACCTGCATGTGATATTAATGATATTGTTCAATAATTTCTGCATTCTGTTGGATCACCTTTCTGTGGAATGAGTAAAAATATGGATCTCTTGCAGTCAGTTGGCCAGGTAGCTGTCTTCCAAATTTCTTGGCATAGACGAGTGAGCACCTCCAGTGCTGCATCTGTTTGTTAAAACATCAATTAGTATTCCGTTAATTCCTAGAAACTTGTTTTTCACCAATGCCTTCAGTGCAGCTTGGACTTCTTCCTTCAGTACCATTGGTTCTTGATCATATGCCACCCCCTGAAATGGGTGAACGTTGACCAATTCTTTTTGGTACAGTGACTCTGTGTACTCCTTCCATCTTCTTTTGATGCTTCCTGTGTCGTTTAATATTTTCCTCGTAGAATCCTTCAGTGTTGCAACTTGAGGCCCGAATTTTTTCTTCAGTTCTTTTAGCTTGAGCAATGCTGAGTATGTTCTTCCCTTCTGGTTTTCCGAGCATGTTCTTCCCTTCTGGTTTTCTATCTCCAGGATTTAGCACATTTCATTATAATACATTACTTTGTCTTCTGGAGCCGCCCTTTTAATTACTCTGTTCAGCTGTTTTACTTCATCACTTTTTCCTTTTGCTTTATCTACTTTACGTTCAAGAGCAACTTTCGCAGTCTCTTCTGACATCCATTTTGGTCTTTTTTTTATTTCTTTCCTGTCTTTTTAATGACGTTTCTTTCCTGTCTTTTTAATAACCTGAGCTTAGTCCCTGGCTTCTTTCAGGGGCCAGTGCTGAGGACGAGAGCGAATTCCAGGATGGCAGAGACCAATACAGGGGTCACAGTCTGGGACCACCTGGAATGGAGAGCGACTGGCAACTCAGAGACTTGACTTGCAAGGTGGGAGGAGGCACAGCCAGTTTGGATGGAGGAGGAGGAGGGGTAGCCTCGGCTTCCGCCGGGGGTGGGGCTAAAATTCTGCGGCCCAATCAGAGGCCCATTTCCTGGTGGGCGGATCCAGCAACAAGTCTGTTCTGACTGAGCTAGCAGAGGCTCTATGTGAGCACCATCAAATAAATCTACAGGATTTGAATTGATGTGGCCAAGGCCATTAGCACTGGGCTACCAACTGAAAGGTCAGCAATTTAGAAATTACCAGCCGCTTGGTGGGCCAAAGATGTGGCAGTCTGCTTCTGTAAAGATTTACAGCCTTGGAAACCCTTTGCGACAGTTCTACTCTGTCCTATAGGATAGCCATCAGTCAGAATCGACTCCACAGCAGTGGGTTAGTGGGTTTTGGTTGGCCATTAGAATTCAACCCATTTAAAGGCAGCACGTTTTGGAGAGGGCAGAACAGCAATGTTGTTGTTGTTAGATGCCATGAAGTCAGTTCCGACTCTTAGTGACCTTGTGTACAACAGAATGAAACACTGCCTGGTCCTGCGCTATCCTCACAATTGTTATGTTTGAGCTCATTATTGCGGCCACTGTGTCAATCTATCTGGTTGAGGGTCTTCCTCTCTTTTGCTGACCCTTTACCTAGCATGATGTCCTTCTCCAGGGACTGATGCCTCCTGATAACATGTCCAAAATACGTGAGACAAAGTCTTGCCATCCTTTGTTTTAAGGAGCATTCTGGCTGTACTTCTTCTAAGACAGATTTGTTCGTTCTCTGGCAGTCCATGGTATATTGAAGATTCTTTGCCAATACCATAATTCAAAGGCATCAATTCTTTGGTCTTCCTTATTCATTGGCCAACTTTTGCATGCATGTGAGGTGATTGAAAATACCATAGCTTGCGTCAGGTGCACCTTAGTCCTCAGCAAGAACAGGCATACAGAGGGCCGATTTTGGTGATGGTGAAAGTGCAATAGGTGGCTTCACTGAAGTAGATCTGGCCCATAATATATGTGATCTAGACCTGATGAACTCCAGTTTAACTGACTAGGCAGTGGTCTCAAGGGTATCCTCCAATCAGTAGATAGAGTGGGTGTGGCTCAGTGGAGCTGGCCAATAACTGATGGTGAGGTCTTGGCTGGGTGGGCCCCTTGAACGGACTGGCCAATCAGTAGGGTGATAGGTCAGGCCGTTAAGACGCTTAACCAATAGGCAGAAAATGTGGGCGTGAGGGGGCGGAACCCTGCGCAGGGATGGCCAATCAGTAGTTGGCAAGGCTGGGGGCCTGCTTGTCATTCAATTTTGAATTTGGCGCGTGGGCTAGGGCGAAGACCTGGAAGTGAAGAAAGAGGAGTTGGAGTTTGCGATGAGGGACTCCCCAGCGGCGGCCAAGGAGGAGGTGCCCCAGTACCCGGAAGGCGAGGACGGCACGGGAAGCGGAGACGTGGGGAACACGCATCGCTCGCCACTCCGTGCCCCCGGCCCTCGGCTGGGCGAGGACATGAAGGCGTATGTTCTGCGGCCGGCACTGCGGGGCCACGCAGTTCAATGCCGCATCAGCCGGGACAAGCGCGGCGTAGACAAGGGAATGTTTCCCTTCTACTACCTGTACCTAGAGGCGGCAGATGGCAGGAAGGTGCGGTTAGGTTCTTTAGAGCTGCACAGTCCCTGTAGTCTCTGGAGCAAGCCTTACCTCCCAGGGACAAGTCCTGCCCCTTTCTGAGGGAGAGTCAAAACTTTTACCAGTCCAGGCTTTGCTCATCACTGAGCTGTTGTTGTTAGGTGCCATCAAGTCATTACAACTCATAGCGACCCCATGTGACAGAGTAGAACTGCCCTATAGAGTTTCCTAGGCTGTAATCTTTACGGGAGCTGATCCCAGGTTTTTTCTCCTATGGAGCTGCTGGGAGTTCGAACCACCAATCTTTTGGTTAGCAGCCCAGAGCTTAACCATTGTGCCACCAGGGCACTTTATCACTAAGCTAGAACACCTCAACTCCAATGGCAAGATGCACTCTTCACAGAGCCCAGGAGCCTGGGCCCTACCTATCTCATAATCAAGCCTTGCCTACTCTAGATATGGGTCTGCTTTTCTTAAAGTCAGGCCACGCCCTCTCAGTATCCAAAACCCCACCCTTAATGGGCTCTCTGTTTGAATTGGCCTGGCTTTGGTTGGTGGCGAAATGGTTAGGCTGCTAACCGAAAGGTCAGCGGTTCGTACCCACCAGCCACTCCGCGGGAGAAAGACCTGGCGATCTGCTCGCATAAAGATTACAGCCTTGAAAATTCTATGGGGCAGTTCTGTTTTCTCCTATTGGGTCGCTAACAATTGAAATTTACTATACGGAAATGTTTTTTTCTGTTGGGCCCAAGACACGCCCCTTACAGAACCACGCCCAGTCCGTAGATGAACCCCACCCTCCATTTCCTGCCTCCAGGGTGGCCCCGTCTTCTCAGGGCACCCCATCTGTCCCATAAAGAGGCTTTTTTGGTACTCAGAGCCAGGCCTATTTTTTCTAGATGAAATACGTACCAAAGTTCTGTCCCAATGCTCCAAATGAAGGTCTTCCCTATTCCGCAAAGCCAGGCCCTGCCTCTGACGTTCATGTTCATCTTTACCTAGACTAAGTCAACCCCTGACCCAATAATGGAAGAAAAGAGGGGGAGATGCTAAGATGTGAAGCTCCCTTTAAGGAGTCGGCCACTGGCTTCCCTCAGTAAGAATCACATCTCCCAGCAAGCCTTTGGATGCTACTGCTCCATCACCCTCTCTTCTGTCATGGGCATGTGGCATTTTCTTGTCTTCAGACCACTAAGGTTAGCCAGATGCTAGAAATCAATTCTGATGGGCTGTTCCTCCTATCCACAGCACTTCCTTCTGGCTGGGCGTAAGAGAAAAAGGAGCAAAACCTCTAATTACCTCATCTCCCTGGACCCTACAGACCTGTCTCGGGATGGGGACAACTTTGTGGGCAAAGTCAGGTGGGCAGAGCCCCGGATGTGTGTGAGAAACAGGTGGCAGGGGTCCATGGGATGGGGAAAGAAGGGGATTTGTGGACTATATTTCCCAACAGGCCACAAAGCACAAGTCCCGCCTGCTCTAGGGCCATTTCTCCTAGGTCTTGATGGGTTTTGTAGTTCTTCAGGTTGTATCCCCCAAGGTGGTTGGGACTAGAGTTGAAGGCTTTGGAGCAAGGGCTGGTATTTAAGACATTTTACTTCTCGAGAGGCAAGGGTCTGGGACTCTTAAGTCCTGTGGGAGAATCGACCTAGAATGTGTGAGTTCTTGCATCCTAGAGGGAAGCAGCCCAGTCCTTAAAGGGCCCAGGGAGGAGGACAAAAAACATGGCACACCAAAGAAGGAGGGGGCTGGGATCGTGGATACTGGTTTCTGAGGGAACCAGCTTTGGCTGGGAGAGCTGAAAGGGTGGGGGAGATAGAAGAACCCATGGATAGGAAGGAAAAACGTATGCAGTGTCTGAGGTTTCTCTGGAGGCAGGAAAACCTAGTGTTTAAAAGCTGAGGCTTGAAAGTGCAATTGATCTGGGGTTGAATTCCAGCTCTTCTGATTCCTGGCAAAGGACTTCATCTAGCCTTAGTTTCTCCTCTGTTCAAGAGGAATATAATTCTTACCTTAGAGAGTAGATGGGAAGCATCAGTGAAAGATGACATGGGAGAACACCTCACATACAGCCACACAGTAACAATTCTTATTACTTTTATTCTGTTTATTCCCCTCATGGAGCAGATCCAATATCTTGGGCACCAAATTCACCATCTTCGATAACGGGGTAAACCCTGACCGGAAGAATTTCGTCCCGGAGACAGCCCGGATCAGGGAGGAGCTGGGGGCTGTGTGTTACGTGAGTGTTCGGGGATGTGAGAGAGTATGGAGCAGGGCAGTGGGGAGGGAAGAGAAACCAAGCCAACTGGAGCATAATGCCCCTAGGAGACCAATGTCTTGGGATTCCGGGGACCCCGGAAAATGACTGTGATCATCCCAGGATTCGACGCCCAGAACCGGAGATTCAGGGTTCAGCCACAAAATGTGAGTCCCTCAATCTCTGGGTCAAGGGAGGAGGAGGAGGCAGTCGTAGGTCACATGTGAATCCAGGAGAATTTTGTCACACTGTTGTGTCTAAGACAGCAGAGAACGTTGCTGCCGTTGTTAGGTGCCGTCGAGTCCGTTCTGACTCATAGCGATCCTATAGGACGGAGTAGAACTTCCCCATAGGGTTTCCAAGGAGCGGCTGGTGGATTTGAACTGCCGACCTTTTGGTTAGCAGCCAAGCTCTTAACCAATATGCCCCAAAATTCTAAGTCCCCAGGGAAAAAAAAAAAAGGTCGGTTGGTGATAGGTAAAACAACCACGCCCCCTACTTTACCTTCTAGGAACAGGAGTCGCTACTGAGTCGCCTCCAGCGGGGAGCCAGCCAGGGGCTGATCCTGCTGCAAAATAAAGCCCCATCGTGGAGCGACGAGAGCGGCGCCTACGTGCTCAATTTCCACGGACGCGTCACTCGGGCCTCGGTCAAGAATTTCCAGATCGTGCATCCGGATGACCGTGAGCTCCTAGGAACCGGCTTGCCCGGGCAAGGGAGCGGGCGAGAACTACTTCTCCCATCAGCACTTGGGCGTTTTTCAAGGCAGGGCAGACACCATGCTGTTACACAGCTTTCTGGGAATTGTAGTTTACTAGGCCTTTAGAGAGTTTCCCGGCTTTACAAGGCTGCCTGTTGCACAGCCTCTTGGGAGTTGTAGTTCTCACAGCTCAGGAGCCCGCGGCAGGGACATGAGGGTCCAGGGAAGGCTTAGTTCCTGACTCTCCCCCCGCAGCGGACTACCTGGTGCTTCAGTTCGGTCGCGTGGCCCCAGACTCATTCACCATGGACTTCCGCTTCCCGCTTTGCCCGCTCCAAGCCTTCGCCATCTGCTTGTCCAGCTTTGATGGGAAGCTGGCATGTGAGTAACCCAATAAAATGCCATTCCTTCACCAACTTCTGTGCCTGCTAACTGGGAGAAAGGGCCCTAACATGCCTGCTTTTGCACCACGTTAATAATAACCAACATGCCTTTGATGCCGACTGGGTATCCTGGGCTGTGGGTAGTGGGCCGTGCAGCAGCACCTGCCTTCACGGGGCTCACAGTCAAGCATGGGAGATGAAGATGGGCTTTGAACAACAAAAAAGAGCGAAACTCATCTGCTATGGAGAAAAACACATCGAGCCACAAGTTGGCCAGATCAGAGCAGGCAGGGCATCTGTAAAAAAGTGACTTTCATACTACTTCCTGGGTGGTGCAAACAGTTAACATACTCAGCTGCTAACCAAAAGGTTGGCAATTTGAATCCACCCAGAGGCAACTCGGAAGAAATGCCTACCAATCTGCTTCCAAAAAAATCACTCACTGAAAACCCTATGGAGCACAGTTCTACTCTGACACTCACGGGGTCACCGTGAGTCGGAATTGACTTGAGCAACTTTTTTTTTTCGTACTACTTCCATGGGGATATTGTGTGGTTTAAACTCAAGAAAGGTGTGCCTCAGGGTTGTATCTTTCACCATTCTTATTCAGTCTGTATATTGAGCAAGTAATCTGAGAAGGTGGACTATATGAAGAAGAACGGGGCATCAGGGTTGGATTAAGACTTATTAACAGCTTGCGTTATGCAGATGACACAACCTTGCTTGCTAACAGTGAAGAGGACTTGAAGTACTTACTGATGAAGATCAAAGACCACAACCTTTGATGGATGGATTTTCTTTATGTTGAGGTGTAAGTATGGATTACACCTCAACATAAATAAAACAAAAATCCTCACAACTGGACCGATAATCAACATCATGATAAACGGAAAAAAGATTGAAGTTGTCAAGATTTTCATTTTACTTGGATCCACAGTCAACACCCATGGAAGCAGCAGTCAAGAAATCAAAAGACACATTGCATGGGGCAACTCTGCTGCAAAAGACCTCTTTAAAGTGTTAAAAAGCAAAGATGTCTTTTTAAGAACTAAGGTGCCTCTGACCAAAGCCATGGTGTTTTCAGTTGCCTCGTATGCATGTAAAAGCTGGACGATGAATAAGGAAGACCAAAGAAGAATTGATGCCTTTGAATTGTGGTGCTGGGGAAGAATATTGACTATAATGTGGCCTGCCAAAAAAAACAAACAAATCTGTCTTGGAAGAAGTACAACCAGAGTGCTCTTTAGAAGCAAGGATGGCGAGATTACGTCTCACATACTTTGGACATGTTATCAGGAGGGATCAGTCCCTGGAGAAGGACATGATGCTTAGTAAAATAGAAGGTCAGCGAAAAAGAGGAAGACCCTCAACGAGATGGATTGACACAGTGGCTGCAACAATGGGCTCAAGCATAACAATTGTGAGGATGGCGCAGGACCAGGCAGTGTTTTGTTCTGTTGTACATAGGGTCGCTGTGAGTCGGAGCCAACACAAGGGCACCTAACAACAAGTTCCGAGGAACTAGCTAAGCAAAAGGGAGCAGGGGTGGGGACATTTGGTAGTAGCCACAGCTCAAGCAAAGGTCTTAAAAGTGGGAGGGGGCTTGGTTGCTTTGTGGAACTGAAAGGATAGTATGATAGTGTAGAATTCAAGGGAGTTCAGATCTAATCAAGGAAAATGACCACGAGACGGCAGTGTTGCACAGCAAACTATTTATTGGGGATCGACCCGTTGGCAGCTGTATGCCCCACAGGAGCTGCAGGGGGGGAAGAGAGCAAGGGACCCCCCTTCTTCAGAGGAGAGAAAAAGGAGGGATTCCCTTTGCAGCAACGTGGGAAATCTGGGCCTGAGAACTCTGAAGGGTAGCAGCCATTTGGGGTCCTTATAACTTCAGGAAAGAGCCCTGGTGGGCAATGGTTAAGCACTTGGTTCAAACCCACCAAGCCGCTCTGTGGGAGACAGGTGTGGCGATCTGCTCCCATAGAGATATACAGCCTTGGAAACCCTACAGGGTGGTTCTTCCCTGTCCTGTAGAGTCACTATGAGTCAGAATCAACTCCACGTTGGTGTAACTAGAGGGTTTCATGTTATCTAGGGCTTGCACATGTTGGGCGTAGTTTCACTGGATATGTAAAACAGGCAGGCTCTAAGTGGCCAAAAATATGCTCATTTGGGCTATTTTTAAAAGAATTGGAAGTGTAAATATTTGAGTTTGGCACCAGCAGGCTTTTTGAGCTAATGGGCCCAGCCTGTTATGAAGAAATAAACCAACTTGGGCCAATACACAAAGGCCATTTTTGGCTTATTTATATAACAGGCCATGACCCATCCATTAGTTTGTTGTACCATGGTGGCTTGCATGTTGCCACGATACTGGAAGCTGTGCCATCAATATTTCAAATACCATTTGGGTCACCCATGGTGGAGAGGTTTCAGCAGAGTTTGCAGACTAAGACAGACTAGGAAAAAAGGCCTGGTGATCTACTTCTGAAAATTAGCCAATGAAAACACTATGGATCACAACAGAATATTGTCTGATAGAGTACTGGAGGATGAACTCCATAGGCTGGAAGGCTCTCAAAATACACAGAGGCCACAACGATGGACCAACAATCGTGAAAATGGCGCAAAACGGCACTGTTTCTTCTGTTGTACGTAGGGTCGCCATGAGTTGCAGCCGACTCGATAGCAACTAACAGCAACATAACAGGTTGGAGAATGACAAAGAATGAGGTTGGACAGGGTGAAGGACATTTGGCCCAGCCCTGCTTTGAACTGATGCGTGTATCGTACAAGGTCAGAGAATTCTAGGCTAGAGATGTAAACTTGAACGGTAATTTAAGACATGCGGGAGAGAGAGTAACTGTAATACCGTTGTTGGGTGCCACTGAGTTGATTCTGACTCCTAGTGACCCCATGTGACAAATAGAACTGCCCCGTAGGGTTTTCTAGGCTGTAATGTTTATGGAAGCAGATCTCCAGGTTTTTCTCATGTGGAGCCGCTGGGTGGGTTAGAACCGCCAACCTTTCCCCTAGCAGCTGAGTGCTTAACTGTTGCACAAACAGGGCTCCTCATTATAATACTAGCTAACATTTATATAGCCTTTACTATTTGATGGGCATTGCTCTAAATATTAACTCCTTTGGGGCCCTCACAATCCCACAAGGCATGCATAACTGTTAACCACATTTTAAAAATAAGAAATACTCAGTCTGTGGACACAGGGCTTATAAATATGAAATCAGCCAGCCTTGAGGATGAGGCACTGGTGGGTCAGTGCAGGAAAGCCTGGGTTCAATTCCTGGGCAATGCACCTCATATGCAGCCACCACCCATCTGTTAGTGGAGGCTTGCGTGTTGCCAAGATGCTGGACAGGTTTCAGCAGAGCTTCCAGGCTAAGATGGACTAGATGGAAAGGCCTGAAGATCTTCTTCTGAAAATCAGCTAAGAGAACCCTATAGATCACGGTCAGATCCATAACCCATCACAAGGATGGCACAGGACTGCGCAGTGTTTTGTTGCCTTGTGCATGGGCTTGCTGTGAGCGGGAGCGGTCTCTAGGGCAGTTAACAACAGCAGAAAAGCCTTGAGGAATTCAACATGTAAAGGCCAGTAGGAGGATGGCCCTCCAGGGAGGCAGACAACTTGAGTTTCACTCTTTCTTTTTAGGAACCCATGAGTCCAGTCCCCAACCCCTTGGGAAGATAATTGTCCCAAGTGTAATAAAATTTAGGAGTAAGTTGAGGAAAAACTACAAAGCCCACCAGCCCTTATTTCAAAAAGACCTTCAGGGCAGGGAAGAAGAGGCAATTTCCAGGGATGATGGGAAATGTAGTTTTTATCCTCTACTACTAAGTTGTTCACCCTAACATTTTTCCTCCCAACTATTTTGGGGAGCCAGGAGTAGTGGATACTGTCAGTTCAACACACCGAGAGGTTGCTCCTTAGAAACCAAAAGGCTTTATTCTTTATATAAACCAACACTTAAAAAAAAAAAAGTTAAATAACACACAAAACACCTGGTCTTAGCCACGCCTCCCCCCGAGGTTCAGACAAGGAGACAGGGACTTGCACGCAGGGGAGGGAGAGGGTGTGGCCACAGCGGGGCTCCCGTGCCTCGCTGGAACTGGGGACTCAGAAGGGCCAGAGGAGGAAGGCATGGTCTGGGTAGGGACAGGTATGGGGCTCAGGGAAAGGGGTGGGTTCCCAAGGCGTGCCCAGGCCCTGGCCCGGGCAGCAGGGGTGAGGCAGGGGTTCAGCTCCTCCTGGACGCAGGCGATGCGGCGGGCAAAGCGGTTGCGATCCCGGGCCAGCTGTTCCCAGGGACCCCGGCGGGCGGCCCGGGCTGGCCCTGCCCAGACAGCCAGGTAATGGACGGAAACTTTCTCTGAGAAGCGCACCTGGGGGGCGGACGGGCACAGACATGTGGAGACACAGTGATAAAGAAAATGCACACAGCCACACCAGAGAGAAAGACAGAAACAAAAATTAGTTACAGAGAAATGCTCTCGGGCTAGTCACCAGCCTGCCACCGGATCCTCCACCTGCATCAGTGACAACAGAGGTGGTTCCCTGGGGGCTGACGTGAGGCACAACTGCTCCCTTTTCCCCCTGGAATCCCAGGGGCCCAGCTTCTGGCAAAGGATTGCGTTACAGGTAACAAAACCCAACAGATTTCACATGCAACCCCCTGCAACACCCTGGGGTCCCAGGAGTCCAGGCCTCCAGCCCCTCCTCCGCCAGACCCAGGAGTTCTAGACCCCCCTTCCCTAAACCTCAAGAATCTGGGCCCTCAGTACCCACCTTTGTGGCCTTTAGGGGAGTCCCAGGATCCAGATCCCGAGTTGGGGTTTCTAAGGAATTAAGCCGCCTTTGCAGTCGGAGGGGCAGCCTAGGAGGAGCCCAGGGAGGGGGTGGCTTCTCTCCAGGTAAATAGATGGCCACTCGGAAAGGGCTGGGCTCAGCTTCTCCCCATTCCTCAGTAGTTCCGTCTTCCTCTGTATCCTCTCCAGGTTGATATGTCCAAGTCCTGAGGACAGCACTCTGGGTCTGAAGGGAGGGATGTTGCCCTGAGTCAGCTGCTTCTCCCTCAGTTGCTTCTGAATCATCTCCATTCTCATTCTCCTCATATTCTTCTTCTTCCTCTGAGTCCTCTCCTGGCCGATACACCCAGGC